ATCATGTTTGGTAAGGTGGAGGGTCAGAGAAAAAGAGGAAGACCCCCCAGCGAGATGGACTGGCAAAGTGGCAGCATCAAAAGGTTCAAGCATGGCAACAATTGTGAGGTTGGCTCATGACAGGGCAGTATTTCATTCTATTGTGCATAGGGTGGCTATGAGTCAGTACCAACTTGATGGCACCTAACAACAACAACAATTGACAAATAAAAACCAAAACACAACAGTATCAGAACCTACTCAGACAAGCCCCACTTGTAGGCACTACAAAACAAGATGTTTTACTAGTGACTGTGTATGTACTAGTTGGACCACTTTCCCCTTCGCTCCTCTGTGCCCACACACACCCTTAAGCATCCAGACAGTTCATATCTAGTTAGAATTCAGGTTACCTGAGTAATGTTGTACAAGCTGCTGAAGTGTTTCAAACTGGGCCCGGGTGGTAATGTAGTATCCACCATTGTCAAGTTTGCGAATTTTATAATGTTTGACATGATCTCCTTTCATATCATCCCAGTCACGGATAGAAAGTGAATAGGCACCTAAGTAAAAATGCAAAGCATTAGTCGCTCCAATTACTTTGAGTACTAATTTGTTTTTTAGGGCACATCTACTTGAATATTCTGATTAATAAATTATCAACGGGAGACACATACACACACACATTTCCACTCAGTACATAGGAAGAAAATACCTCTTGCTTTCCTGTAAATGTCAGAAGATATTAGCAATAAAATGACTTTACCCTGGAGACAGAAAGCTTCCTGTTCCCCCCTCTCTCCTAAAACCCTCTATTCAAGTACACTTGTATTGTCTAAGACAGCAAAGATCCAATCCTCTTTGGGGACATCAAGAGCAGCCAAAATTCAGGGCTGAATTTGCTGCCTTGCCTACAGTACCCAGGGGGCATCAGTGGCTATAGGGACAGGGCACACAAAAGAAATCTCAGGATGGTCTCCTTAGACATGAGATTTTCAGATTTCTGCTTAACAACATGTTTCAGATAACCCATTTGTGATAGTTTCCCTTCTTTGCTGCTCTCTCCAGGATGGGCTCTAATGAGTTGTTAAATAACAAAAAGGCCAGTGAAGGGAAGAAAGGAAAGAAGCAAAATCCTCCTGTGTTTAAAAAACAAAAACACCTGTATGACCAGGTCTCTCGAGTAACTAAGAGTTTTAGAAAATCATAATTCTAATAGATTTCTGAAAATTCTATGATCCTGGGTACCTAGAGGAGTAAAGCTACAGCCACCCCTGTTTTGGGGAAAAGGCCTTGATTTGGAGCTTCTGTAGTTTATTTGGAACTGTCTGCAGTTCTAGAGCCTGGAGTGGAAACTGGAAACAGGACTCCACTCACTAGGAGGGGAAGATATATGCCATTTGTAAATCCTTGTATATTAGAGATAAGCATTTTATCCCCTTGGACTAATCCCCAGATTTGAATGCCAAGTGAAGTCCTTCAACACCTTTCTTACCTTTGGTGGTTTCACTCTCTCGGATAAGAAAGGTACCTCTTGGGTTTCCAAAGGACAAAAGCTGTCGTTCAGCATCTTTGCGGCCAAGTTTTCCAAAGTACCACCTTTAAATGAGATAAGAGAAAGGACATATTTTGTAACTATTATTTTAAAAATGGGATAGGGTAGGCCCCTTTAGCCATTAATCAATCCCTCTCACTCCTAATTTTGCCTTAAGAAAAGTTTGTGGAAAAATGGAAGTAAAAGATAATGGAATTTCCCCACAAAGTTTCAGAAGTTCCTCATATGTGAGTATTTTTTTCCCCTCCTACCTCAACCAGTTCTTTTAATCTACTTCTGATTTTACCTCAAATTCATCTCTTTCACTCCTTAAAAATACTAAACTTGAACTGTGGGCTATCTTCCTTTCCCCCAGAGATGACAGGAAAACTGGTTTGGGTTAGAAGGGCCACCTGCATCATAAAAAGGAGACATCTAAGACCTTGTTTTGAAATGGCAACTGCAGGAGCCCCTTCCCACGCTCATCTATAAGACCCCTCTATTTCTGAGTGTGATTACAGCCCCTGGGAAATCAAAACACACTGTCTAAAAAGATCATTAATCATTCATGTTTAAATAACAAAGGCCAGTCAGAATGAATAAAGACTAAAAGACACACGATACCTTCAGTAAATATCTACCTACAGGAACTCAGGAAGGAAAAAAAAAATGGCAGCGACTACTCCTAATTTGAGATGACTGTTGCCTGTAGATGCTTGTTTTTATTTTCTCTTCTCATCTAGCAGGTACGAGGAGTTGGATAAATAAAAAACATTTGGCAAGTACCTGGGTTGTGATCTGCCTCAAGTCTTCTCTTTGGCACAGCCTCAGAACTGACTACTGTATGCCTTTGATATCTGCTCACAATCCGTGAGCGTGTTCTTAAAAATGACTCAGTGCTGTAGACATTTTCATATTTTCCCTGAACAAATTAGTGACACCCCTGAAGAGGCAGCACATCAAGTCACCACATGACCTTAGTTATTTGTCTTTTATCTCTGACTCCCTCCACCTCGCAAACCCTCACTGTCTGGCAATTAGGTAACAGTGCAGCACTAGATGCTGAATGAACGGCAGGTGCTCCAGGACCCAAGGGAGCATGCTGGAACATTCCATTGGAGTCTGCTCAAAGGAACAATTTTTAGAATCTTGAACTGTGAAAGGATCCAGTTTCTAAAATAAAAATTTGATTCATTCTACTTGAACACAGCTATTATGCATTCAATGCTGAATTCTTTTGTGAATGAGAGAGCATCAGTGAGGATGAGAAAAGACACACTAGATGTTAACTCTTCACTGATTTTTAAAGCTACCACATTGTGCTACGATTCCTAACCAAGGACTAGTTAGTATACAGATAATCGCTTCAATTATGGGTGAGAAATGATTTTCTGGGCTTGTGTCACTAACCCAATCAGAATGCTGTGCCAATACTAACCGCAGTAAAAGAGGGCAGTTAGAACAATGGATGGTACTGAAACAATAGTATTAAGATTATAGTAACTAATTGCCTATATAAAATCATAAGTATCAGTCAAAAATGCTGTTTTATTCTTAAATAAAAGTTGACCTTATAAATACGAGGTAGCTTCAAAAATTCATGGAAAAATTTCAGTAGCCTTTTGTTCCATTGTTCCACGAACTTTTTGAAGCCTCCTTGTACGTAGCTGGTGTTTTCCCAGTTAAACCAAAGTAATGCTACATTTTGGTGGTATCTTTTATTTTGAAGTAACACAAAGATGTTTGCAAATCTACCCCCAAATAAAATTTGAATACAAGGTCCTTTTATTCACTAGGAGCAAACAATGAACTCAGAACCATTGAGAATTTGAAAGCAGGAAACAAAAGAGGTTTCATTAGAAGAAAAACAAAGGAATTAAGAACCAGAGAATGATCCACTTGGAGATTTGGCTAGGGTGTGGAGTCTAATCCTCCTTGCAGTCCTTAATTTAATCTATGACAAAATCCATGACAAAAGTATCAGAGCCAAAGGTTGGAGGGCTCGGTGGCTTCACAGTCCGGCAGCTAAACTCAGGCCAGACTGGCTCATGTGACCAGAAATGGCAGATCCCTGCAGTGTCAGGAGGTGGCTAGGGTCCCACCTTACAGGCTCACAGACTGTTCCCCCTTTACCTCAGTTCAGAAGTTAGGACCTGAAAACAAGTGTCTCTGGCAGCGCTCTACTTAGGAAGTGCCCATTAGTCTCCACTGGCCAGACGAAGGAAGAGGGGTTGTTTCTTTAAAAATTCCCTCAGCTTAGTGACCACAGGCCTGAACTGCTACCTGTGGAATCCTTAAGCCAGAAAACTACTGGTTGCTGTCTACCATCAAAGAAACCCACTGAGACCCCAAATGGAATGAAGGACCATTTGAAATCCATCTCCATAGTGCCTCCTGAGTTCTGGGCCACACACCGGATCTGCCCTTCTTTAATGCTGCTTCTGATGACACACTAAGAAAACTCTCAGCTTGATCTTTAACAAGTAGTTCTCTCTTTTTAACAGCAGCTTGGAACATTGGGTTGGTAATCAAATATGTTCTTGCCAGAATTTTATCGTATTTCTATGGCTACTTTCTATCAGTGGCAAGCAATGCAGATAAAAAACAGATAAAAAGCTTCATTTCAAAAGAAATACACGTTTTTTAAAAAGTGAGCAAGCATAAAGAAAAATAAGGATTTAACAGCAGTGCAAATATTACACAGATAATGGTTAACAAGATGGCCTAAACCTCAGGGAAATGCAGCGCTGCCATGTGCTGCCACGTACTCTTAGACTTCAATCACTCTAGTGAGTTTCTTTTCACATCTGTATTGTGTTAGTGGAAAAGTTATTGTGGCAACTAACTTTTAGCAGCAAGGAGCTAAGTGAAAAACAAACAAAACCTACTCTTCTGCCTGGATGGAGTCAACTGGAGCCACATAATTGCTGGGAATGTAGCCCGTCTCTCCAGTTGTCAAGGAGCGGGCTTCCCACCAATCTCCTTCCCTGCAGAGAAAAAGAGAAGAGAAATGAGTAAGCCAATGCTTTCACGTCTTGCACTCTTAGCCTCTGTGTTGTAGGTAGATGGCTGACTTCTCCAATCTGACTTCTTTTCTCCAGACTCAACATAACACCCAGTGAAGGTCAGGTGGTTTACACTCTGAACTGAACCCAGCTTTGTGTCTGGTCTGATTTGAGACTTAAGACCACAGGGCCCTGGTCATAGAGGCCACTTTTTCACTTGTGGTTGTTGTTGTTGTTAGCAGTCCAGTGCTTGTCCTTTAGAGGCACAGCACTCCCACTTTTCAGATAGGGGGCATTGCTTGGGAAATGTCCCTGACCTGGACTAAAGGGGAGGGAATCCAGTCTCAGCATAGCTGAGTAAAACATTATTCGTGCAGATCAACCAAGAAAGGAGGCCCAGTAAGAGAGGAAAGCATTTCTCTCCAGTAAATGGGGAAGATCTATTTTTTGGCAGAGTCCTGGGATGGGCAGGGCACATGGTTAATGCACTTGACTGATAACTGAAAGGCTGAAGGTTCAAGTCCACTCGGAGGTCCCTTGGAAGAAAGGCCTAGAAACATACTTCTGAAAACTTAGCCATTAAAAACCCTACAGAGCAGAGGTCGACTCTGACATATGTGGGGTCACCATGAGATAGCAGTGACTCAACAGCCAGTGGTAAAAGCCCTTTCTGTAAGTAGAGTGGTAAAAACAACATTAGGTTAAGCCTCTTCAGGCAGTTTCAATCTGAGGTGATTTCACCAAAGATGAGGGGTTTCCAAAAGTTCTGGGGAAAAATATTTATGGTACTGAGTTGAGCAAGGTTGGGTGTAGCTGTGTGTGCACAAGTGCATAGAAAAAAACCAATCTCATTACAGGGGTAAGACTTGTACGACTCAGTTATATCACATGTTGATCAATGTCCTCTGCAGTAGTATGATCTCAGTCTGTGTGGCTCCCAAAGCTGTGGGCGAAGAACATGAAAGGGGCTTATAACATGACTCTCAGATGAAAACAAATTAGTAAATGAGGTGGGTAAAGTCCACATGCTTCTATTCACTTAGTTTTATGTGTGACAAAGAGCAGGGATAGAGTGTGTACTGTTTCCTATGAATGATTAGATGTTTCTAACGCTGTCACTCTGACATCTACTGATTATTCACAGACCAGCCTGGGATCAGGAGTGGGACGGGTGGGGGACTGTTGTTGTTGAATCATTTGAGGTTGCTAGTGCTGAAATGTACCCCCTGACGCCTGACACCCAGCTCCCGATCTCCCTCCTTTTTAGGTCCTTAGAGGCAGCAAGAGAAATCCAAGGCCTTTTTTTTAAAAAATCACTTTCTTGCTGGGCTCTGTGTCAAAGCTCTCAGCCAGAGAAGAAAATGTGTTGGCTTTTGGCCCTGGTAAAGGTCCTCCCCAGACTGATTTGATTAGGTGGAGAATAACCAGCCTTCAGCATTCAACTCAAGCTTCATTCCAGAGTCCCAGTCTCCAAAGACCTCAGAGTGAGGGGAGCAAGACTCCAGATCGAATTTAGTAGAAGAGCAACAGAGCACACAGTGACAAGCCAACATGTGTTAGAGATGAACTTGTGGAAAAGTGCTTGGTGACTTTTTTTTTAAAAAAAACAACAAACAAACAAGTTAACAGGATATCAAACAAAACCCACTATTGTTGGCAGGACAGAACAGAGCTGCCCCACAGGGTTACTGAGGCTGTACATCTTTGAAAGCAGACTTCATCTTTCTCCCATGGAGCAACTGGTGGGCTTGAACCACTAACTGTGTGGTTAGCAGCTCAATGCTTAAGTCACGGCTCCTAAGGCAGAGCTGTTGCTGTTAAGTAACATCAAGTTGATTCCAACTCATAGTGATCCCGTATGGAGTTTCCACGGCTTTAAATCTTCGTGGGAGTGGAAAGCGTCATCTTTCGTCTGCCTTAATGTAGGACTGTAGTTGTTGCTAAATGCTGTTCAGTTGGTTTTGACTCACAGTGACCCTGTATAGGATTTCTGAGGAGCGGCTAATGGGTTTGAATCACCAACCCTGCGGTTCAAGCTGCGGTCCAGTTTTTATTCTAGAGCACCACACCAGGATTTGTTGTTAAGTGCCGTTGAGTCAGTTCCAACCCATAGCGACCCTGTATAGGGTTTCCAAGGAGCACTTGGTGAGCTTGAACCACCAACCTTGCAGTTCAAACCGACTATGCAGTCTTGCATATTAACCCACAGCCCCACACCAGGATGCCACCAGGATAGGCCACAAGAAATTAGGGTACTAGCAATGGTCACTGAAACTTTTATTTTAATAAGTTTCCCAGTAAGTTTTTCATCCTATCAAATTAATTTTAACAGATAAATCCATCAAAAGAGAAAGGCAGCTATTCCCATACCCATAAAGTCCTTCATTTATAAACTTAAATTTACTTCATGTTCAGAGATTTATGATATTTTATACATAGAAAAGAATAACCGTGATGTACCCTGGTATGGCGCTGTGGGCTAATGCGTCAGACTGCAAAGTCATTTGAGCTGCAAGGTCAGTGGTTCAGGCTCACCAGCTGCTCCTTGGAAACCCTATATAGGGTTGCTATGGGTCGGAATCAACTCGACGGCACACACTTAACAACAAAAAATATATAAGTTTTGAAACACTTGTGAACTCACAATGGAACTTAAGAGCTCAACTGTTACCAATGGTGTGGAACCTACACCTCACTACTACCCTATCAGATTTCATGAAATTCAAAATGTTAACAGTGTAGTACTGGTCTCATTTCTGTGTCCCTCCAAAAGACACACTTGCAGTTGTAGATGTATCATCTAAGTACATATACAGAAGTTAATGTTTTTCTTCAAACATTGCATGTGTTTAAGAAGATGGTCTTGTACACACATGACCTTTACTTTATGTGAACAACTTTTATTGTGAAGTGCCACTAGATGGAGACATTTCACCATAGAAATAACAATACCTAATCTATTCAGTCTCTGCTCCACACACAAAGAGAGAGGAGAAATAGTTTTGGTTTTTTCAAAAAAAAAAGTGCTTGTAGCAGAGGATTATTTTTTAATCAAGATGACCAACACTGAATATGTCTGATTTTACTAAGGAAAAATTAAGTTAACATCAGTTTTAGGTTCATGGGAATGCCAACTAGGACAGAATGTTAGCACGTTTTGTAGCAGGCTGGGACAAACCCCATCTTGTTTAGTAGCTGGTTGTTGTTGTTATGTGCCTTGGAGTCAGTTCCAACTTATAGCGACCCTACACAGGGTTTCCGAGGCTGTAAATCTTTATGGAAGCAGACCGCCTCATCTTTCTCCCGCAGAACCGCTGGTAGCTTCGAACTGCTGACCTTGCGGCTCGCAGCCCGATTCGTAACCGCTACACTATCAGAGCTCCTAAATTGAGCTGGTACTAGTGAGTAATTTCCAACTCAAAGCCACTGTTAACTATATCACTTTGGTCTAGGTGTGCACAGATTAGAACCCAGCTACCAGTTCATTCTGAAGTCATGTCTCATGGATGTCTCACTTAAGTGACTCCATTACTCTCATACGGATTCTCAGTTATTCAAGAGAAATACTTGACTCCTCTTTTGTTATCCAGGGTCACTTTTTCCATCAAAGGAGACATGAAGTGACAAGAATCAATGTATATTACATATAGTAAACCTCACATACTGTTTCCAGAGAGTCTGCTGAGCAAATGAAAATGTCTTCAACACACTATTGTTGTTAAGTGTCGCCGAGTCAGTTCCAACTCATAGTGACCCTGGTACCTGGTACAGTAGCTGGTGCATTTGAACCGCTGTCCTTGTGATTAGCAGTGCAGTGCTTATCCTACTGTGCCATACCAGGACTCTCTTCAACACACTTTGCTGTTGTTGTTAAGTGCTGTTGAGTTGGTTACGACTCATAGTGATCCTGTATAGAGAGCGGCTGGTGAGTTTGAACCACTGACCTTGTGGTTAAAACTGACCTTGTGGTCCAGTGCTTAATCCCACAGTGCCACACCCTAGAGGTGCCTATCTTCTCACAAATAAATAATATCCATCCACTGTCATCAAGTCATTCTGACTCACAATGACACTTTAGGGCAGAGCCAAACTCTTCCATCTGGTTTCTGAGGCTGTAAATGTTTACAGGTAAAGAAAGCCTCATCTTTCTTCCAAGGTGTAGCTGGTGAGTTTGATCCACCGACCTATGTTTTAGTAGCCCAATGCTTAGCTCACTAGGCCATCAGGGCTCCTAGAAATAAAATCCATACTCTTTACAAATCATTTATGTCGATTTAATAAAACAGGATTTCTACTATACTATTTTTTCTTTCTTAAATTATTGTGGCTAAACACCATTATAGCTGTATTTCTTTAAAACTTATTATTTAATTAATTCAGACTTGGCAAGATTTTCTTTAACTATTATCCTGTTCTGATTCAAATATTTGATTTAAGTCCTGTCTCTGGTTTAGAATGGCTTTTAGACTTTTATAACAACTTCCTCGGTTCCTCCAGGTTAAAGATATATTTTAAGAGTGGGTCCTTAAATCTTCTGTGTACCCCAGTCCCTAAAGGTGTTCGCAGAACTTGCGGTGCCAGGAGTTGAGGTGTCAGGAACCTTGATAGAGCCAGGAAGTGGTATCTGCCAACAGAAGTCAGCCTCCAGCCACTGAGCTATGGAGAATTTTCATTATAAATGCTGAACTCTTTCTAAATCTGGCCACTGCCCATCTTACTTTCAGATGGGCATATCCATAACACTATGATTAGATGTTTGAGTGGACTCTCAACTAGCATTTCTTCTTACATGATGAGTACACTTAGCAACTCCAAGGCGCTTCACAACCACCACCCTAGGCAATGACCACCACCCAATTCTGCGCAAAACACTTAATCTACTGTAAAGAATCACTATTTCTACAGGGCAAACATACAAATAGGAAATGAAATGAACTTAGGTATTCTGCAAAGCAGATTCAAGTTAAATAACGGTCCAAAGCACTATGTGGTACATTTCCAAACAGGTCCATGAGATCCCCGTTCCCCTCATTGTGCTGGCCAGCAGCATCCCTAGCTCTGGACACGTGTATATCACATGGTTTATGCTGCACTTGGAAATAAAAAGTCAGCCCCTTCTGTCTTTGGAAAGGGGAATGGAGTGGGAGGACACCCATGCTGGGAGGTGCGGCAGCTGTGCGGGAGAGCAGAGCCCCATTCCGCCTTCTCTTTCAGGGGCTGAGAGCCAGAGGCTGGGAGAGGCTGTGGGTGGGGCAGGCGGCACCAGCCATCTGGTGTTGTATTACTGCTTTGTTTTTCCTTCATGATTTTCTCTTCCCTGTCATTACCCTTGACTTCAAGATACTGTATTGGTTACAAAACTTCTTCCCCTCTCATAACCTTGAAAAAGGGCATTTAATTGGCAATGTAGGATAAGGAATTCCACTGGCAAGAAGGAAGAGCTTAAGGGGGAGGTGAAGAAGCCGTTTAGTAATATTTTCTCCTAAGAGAACAGGGTCAGAGGCCCAGAGTTCTTTGTAAACCTCAAATGCCATACATGCAAATCACAAAATAGAGACTGAGATAATCTGATCTTCCTTGGACGGTTCTCCAAAATGTCAGTTTGATGCCATGGCAGATCCTACATGGGTTAACAATGGGAGAAGTCATGAATGTGACTGGCAAAACTGGGCTTTCCAAACAACACACAGATTAGCTTGAACCCACCGAGTGGTTCCATTGGAGTGAAGATTACAACCGAGAAAACCCTGTGGGGCAGTTGTACTGTGTCAATTGGGGCACTATGAGTCAGAATTGCCTCAATGCTACACAACAACAACAAAAACTCCTCAGTCGTTCTTAACTATCAGAATTTACAAACGGTCTCAAGATTTCTAAGCAACCTTTGCATTTAAGGCATATAAATATAAAAGGAGTGTTGTTATGTGCCGTGAAGTTGGTTCCGACTCATAGTGACCCTGTACAGGGTTTCTGAGGCTGTGAATCTTTAAGCGAGCAGAAAGCCTCATCTTTCTCCTGCGGAACAGCTGGTAGTTTCGAACTGCTGACCTTGCAGTTCACAGCCGAATTGTAACACTATGCTACCTGAGCTTCATAAAAGGAGTAGAGCGGCATATTTCAGAATCTAAAAGTTAGTGAAAGGATTCATCTGTTGCAGTCGAGTTGATTCTGACTTATGGAGACCCCATGCGTTTTAGAGTAGAACTGGGCTCCATAGTCTTCAATGACAGACTGTTTGGAAGGAAGTAGGTCTTTCTTCCACAGTGCTTCTGGGTAGATTCCAACTGCCCACCCTTAGGGTTAGCACCACCACCTTGGCCCTTGTAATTAACAGTATGGAATCATAAATCAGAACAGATCAAAGCCAAACTTCTGCCTGGTCTACCTCGCAGCGAACCTTTCCAACCCTGTATGCAACTGGTAGGGTGAGTCCCCTTTTGTGGTAGTATAGGGACCTTTCCAAGACCATACCTGACACTGAGCTCATGATTCCACCCCACATGCCCTAGCTCTGGGCATCCAGAGAGTCCCTGACCACACCTGGGACTCTTTATAGGATGTGGACTATGTTCTATGCCCCAGACAGTGGTTGTGAAGAATAGATGGGCCCAGTTTTTTGTCTTTTTGACTTTGAGTAAATTGTGTTTTTTTTTTAATAAAAAGTTTTTACTGTGATTTGATTGAAAGTTCACAGGGCAGATCATCAGTTTTACATTCAACAAATCATATACTTTGTCTTATTGTAATGATTATAATCCCCTCCATGTACCTAGATGGGCCCATTTTTAACTCAGCACAAGGCTGGCACAGAACAAGCCTTCAGTAAATGGGAGCTGTTTACTATTTTCAACAATCCCTGAGGTCACCAGAGGGAGGCTCCTGAGGGGGGTAGGTAGTGTTCCATTTCTTAATTTGGGGGCTGTCTGGGAGTGTTCAGATTGTGAGACTTAAAATATGTGCAATTTTATGCATTCATTTCAATAAAATGTTAAAAAAAACCCAACCCATCCCCCATCTCCTAGTGATGACAATAACCCTAATTTTACAGAAATCCCAGTGGCTGTGTAGATAACCTGTGATGCCTTGTTAAGTGCCAGCCAGTCATTTCTGACTTACAGCAATCCTGTCTGTCTAGGGTTCCTGAAGCTTTATTTCTCCCATGGAGCAAGTGGCGGGCTCGAACCGCGGACCTCGTGGTTTAAAGTCCAGTGCATCCATGAGTTACTGACCTCTCATGGGAGGAATTCAGTTCTTGCTGCTGAAAGGTGGCATACGCCCAGAGGGAGAGGACTTTTCCAAGAGGCAGTTTCTGGGTCTGGGGCGTTCCCTGCTACCATGACCATGACCTTGATCCTGGGGAGGTAGTGTGGGCGGGGCTCTCTCATCTTCCCTCATGCCTCCTCTTAGCAAGCTGAAGATTCTGCCAGTGTGAAGCCCTGTTTGCTTGGAGACCCGAGCAGAGATTTGGTCTGGCCCCAGTCCCTAGGTGGCAGTCACAAGAGGGCAGGCCCGTCTTGCTGACGGGAGCCCCACTCCCATTTCTGTTGGCGTCCAGATGTTTCTACAGGGCCCTCATCATGCACTCTGCCTCAACCTAACTACTAAGCAGTATGTGAAAACCATGGGGACATCTGCCCCATATTTATTCTTTCTAACGGAGGTTTTACAAGTAGAATTTGAAGAGCGAGTCACTGTCACTCTGGAAACTTGCCGACTACTGGCCACATGGCAGTTGTTCAGGAGTGGCTGAGAGGACTTGTTCTTTCATCGCACACAGCTCTCACTCACCTCCACAGAACCCCACCTGTCGGGGTGGCTACTAGTTTTGGAAACAGAAGGAACTTGCTGCTGGTCTTATGTGAGGTTTTGGCCAGTGCCACTGTTGAAATGTGAAGAAACTATCAAGGCAGACATAGCGAGAGTAGCCAAGTCTCATGCCAGTTTGTGGAAACTACAGATTTGTTGGAAGGGGGATGCTGGTGGATCACAAGTTTGACAAATAATGAACACAGAAATCATCAATTTTGCTACTTTGTTGTTGTTGTTGTTGTTATATGCCATGGCGTCTCGAATTGGGCTATTATGGTATCCTCCAAAAAGTACTGTAAACCTTGTGGCTGTGGGGTGCCAGCAGGCATTCGTCAATGCACAGAGACTCCATGTGACAGAGGAGGACTACGTGGCTGTAATCTTTATAGAAGCACACCGATAGGTCTTTTTTCTGAGGAGCTCCTGGGTGGGTCTGAACCACCAACCTTTTGGTTAGCAGCTGAGAGCTTAACCACTTCCTCACTAGGGCTCCATTCCCTGGATATGTTAAGTGCCGATGAGTTGCCTCAACTCATAGCAGCGCCATACAGATTTTCCAAGAAGTGGCTGGTGGGTTTGAACTGCCGTCCTTGCAGTTAGCAAGTCCAGCACTTATCCTACAGAGCCACACTTGGACTCCTTCCTTTAATATACAGTGTCATAAAATACTGTACTTTTCTTTTCTCAAATTATATTGCCAGGAATTACCGAATTTAGCAAACGTTCTTTTAGCATTTCAGGTATCCGAAAAGGCACAAACAGAAAACACAGAGAAATCTTTCCCAATATGAAAGGCATGTATCCTTCCCCTTCCCTCTCCAAACTTACGAGCTGTTCAATATTTGAAATTTTTCTCCTTTGTGAAAACTCAGGTCATCTTCTGTCCGTGCTTCATAGTCATAAAGGGCCACAAACAGGGTTACTCCTGACAAAACAAAATCAACAGAGATTATTACACCAGGGGAAATTAATTCCAGGGAATTCAACCTTCATTAAAACCTCATTCTCAAAATCTACAGCTTGTCAGCACTGATAACAGGATGCAGTGTTGTAACTGATGTGTGAAAACAGGAGCCATAAGGTTTTAGTTACGCTGTGGTCTTGGTCTGGGAAGCGTGATTTGATTCCCCTAAAACCTGGAACTGAAGAACTTCTCTCTGAACAACCTTTGAATGAATCCTTGGGAATAGACAAATAGTAGTATCACGTCCCAAACCAAAGAGCTACGGCAGCATTAGAGCTCAGATCTGCAGAGCTTTGCAGCCATTACACACCCTTTAGCTGATGCAAGTTCTCTTCCACTCAGGGGTGCACGTCAGGCTCTGGGTAGAGCAGATCACTCTTTCCCTGACAGTATAATAGTAATGTAGCTGTAGTAGGAAATGCCTGCTGCAGCTTGGGGACTTTAGAGGAGGTACCCTCCCTCAGTAATGGGCAATCCCATTTAGGGCTGGACAGACTGGCCCTGGCAGTGGCATTTATACAGATCTACCTGATCGGTCCTGCTACAGAAAGCAGAACCCTCTCCCCTGCTCTCCTACCATGAACCTCTGCGTGGCACCCACTCTTGCTTACACCCACCCACAGTCTTCTCATTTGGCTGAGTCTCCCAAAGGGACCCTATGGCTTTATAGAAATTAACCACCAACAGCACAAAATGTCCACCTTCCCATTTGGCCCAGGGATTCCTGCATATAGTAGACGGAATTCTGTTGTTGTTAAGTCCTGACCACTCAGTTCCGACCTGTTTGGGGTTCTGAGGAGAGGCTGGTGGGTGTGAACTGCTGACCTCGCGGTGACGTGCTTCTAGCCAACAGAAAATGGCATAGGTGATGGACACCAGTTTGTGATGTCTGTCTCGCTAGAAGAATCTACTGCAACCTCAGCCTGCACTTCAATGAAGCAAGCCGACAAGTCCCTGAGGTCCACATGACCAGGAACTAAGTGTGGACTCTGGCCAACAGTCTGCAAGTCCAATAGCCTGTGAGGATCTGAATTCGGCCAATGCTACTTGGTTTGGGAGCAGATCCTTCTAGTCGAACCTTGAGGTGACTACACTCTCTGACATACCTTGATGGCCGCCTTTGAGAGACCCTGAAAGCAAAGTCACTCCTGGATTCCTGACCTACAGAAACTGTGAGACAATAAATGTGTATTGTCAAGCTACTAAATTCTGTGGCAATTTCTTACGTAGAAATTGATAAAACTAATACACTCTGAGAATATTTATTTCTACATCAAAGTACCTGACGTGGTCTAAAGAACTCGCTGAGTGGAACCTGCCTTTTCACCAAGCTGCCATTTTGCCATGTAGCTAGTTCCAGGGAGCAGATGTGTTCGTGGGTCTATTTGGGAACCAGAGCGGGGAAGTGGGGAGGGGCTTGCCTTTCTGTCCCATCCCTAGTGGGGCATCCTGTAGGAAGCTAGCTGGCATTCAGAACGTCTAATCATGCAAAGCAGGGCTCCTTTGGCAGCCTTTGGCAACTGTCCTCCTTTCTTTCACTTTCTTTGAAAGGTTAGAAAAGAGACTGGTTTAAAACAAAAATGCAGGAGACTGTAAGGTCACGCCCAGTGTCATTTAACACTCTATTAACAGATTCCCTTCCTTACATAATTTAGAAACAAACCCAAGTCAGCTCCATTGTGTGAAAGACCAGGCGCATGAAGACCCACACTCCCACTCCTATCAGCTGACAAGCTCTCACTGATGCTTTTATATTCTAGGGACTGGGAGAGAATTACAGGAGCTTACAGAAAAAAATTGACACTTCTTTGAAAGACTGAAAGCAGAGTGCAGGAAAAAGGACACATATAGATAATAAAGCTAAATAACAGAAGGCAGACATATCCTTCAAACATTTGGAGGTACTGACATTTTTTAACTTGCAAATTCTAGAAGGGATCTGGTGGCCCCTCACACAAAGACTGTCCTCGACTGCAGTATAGACCCACATGTTCAAAGCAAGGCACTCTCTTGGCTGACTTAACTGAATGGTAGCCGCAGACACAGGAAGGGATTCGTAGCCAGCACTCGTGAATGAATGCATAAGGACAATCAATGCCTGTGTCAGCAGAAAATGAGTCCGGGCTGGCATCATTCTCCTGCTGCTCTCAGGAGGAATAGGCGGGCTTTATTGGGTGCCTTTTTAAGACCTTTTTTCTTTCTGCATTCTCAAGAGACATATTGCCCTAGACTGCCTGCCTGCCTCCTTCCTTCCTCTCTGTATTTCAAGTTCCGTCTGAGAAGGCAGGGCAAATGGACATGCTAGCACTCATTGTACCTGGAAGGCATAATTGATTACGTGTTCAGCCACTAACTGAAAGGGTGGCAGTTCAAATGGGCTCAGCGGTGCCTCGGAAGAAAAGCCAGGCAATCTGTTTTCACAAGGTCACAGATGGGGTCACCATGAGTTGGAAACAAATCAAAGGAAACTTTAAAAAAAAAAAAAAAAAAAATTTAACCTAGCATTCATTCACCCATGCAAGATGTGAAATTCAGGGAAAGCTGGACCCATCATAACCAAAAGATAAACATTAATAATTTTCCTACTGGACAGAACATGATGTGCTAGTTGAACAGAAGTAGCTAGTTCCCAAAGGCGCTGGGTCAGGTTCCCCTGATACAACTGCACTGCCATGCCATGTGTAGAATGCAGCGGCAAGAAACTTTTGCAAAGCCTGGGTAACGCTCACTCCCCAGGTAAAAAGGCACAATGGGTTAAGATGCAAGACATAAGACATCTGCTCTCAAATGAGCTTTGAGTGTAATGGTTGATGCTACTAAATTTTGGTAATAAAACCATTTTTGGAACAAATAATGTCAAATAACTAGTTACCTTGGTTCACATACTGGGAGAGGAATTGAGAGAGTAAGGATGAATGAGCTAACTTCCAAATGTGCCAGAAAACATATGTCTGAGAACATACGCCAGACAGCTTACAAAGTATTAGCTAAGTCAGCAAATACACACGGCCGTGAAATGCAGCCTTGTGGTGTGAAAGAAAACATCAAAAAATGAAGATGGTCCCTTCAGGATACTTAAAAGTAGATTTTAAAACAGATCAGAACACAAGAATCCTGGATAACCTCAGTCATATGAAGAATGATGGGGAGGCCAGAGAGAGAATAAGTGAAGACAAATGACCCCCTGGCTGGGAAGTGAGAGGGAGGCTGAAGGGTAGGAAGACGAGGGAGGAGGCATTGCCTCCATAGAGTTCTGAAACAGGGTTGGGGGAGGGGGTTGCATTAATATCTGGGGAACTCAAAATACATATGCCTAGATCCAGTCCTGGAGCTTCAGAGTGAAAATCTCTGGGATGGGGTCAGGCTGCCCTCTTGCATTAATCTGAGGCAGCCAAGGTTGGGAGCCACTGGCCTAGCAAGCTGCACTGTCCTAACCTTAACCTCAGTCAGAAGTCCCACAGCATTTTGATCTATACATTAAGGCCTGGCTTTTGATGACCTCTTATCTGTTAAGGCAGTGGTGGTATTTCAGTGGTAGAATTCTGGCCTTCTATATGGGACACTAGGTAATACAGAAACGGCTACAATCATACATTGACAGAGAACTTCCAGAGGTTCAAGCTGGATTCAGAAGAGGCCGGGGAACGAGAGATATCATTGCTGATGTCCAATGGATCTTGGCTGAAAGTAGAGAATA